AAATGTTGGAGCGGGTAGTGCCCTGGAAAGTCATTGCACTAGTCTTTCATCCCTGAAGGCCTGGGATCAATTGCTAGTTAGATCCAAACTGAAAATTAGTTTAGTGGTCTTATCCTTGTACGTAATGGTCATTTTTCCACACCATTTAACCCCCTTCAGTAATTCAGCAAAGTTAGAGAATGATCCAGGACTTGCAAAACTGGGCCTGTCCTAATTAAGGACTGAACTGCATTGACTGGTCTGTATGGGGATGTTAGTGCAAGAACTGCTTATGTTATGGGCCCAATCAAACATCCACTGGAGTCAATGGGAATCTTTTCATTGACTTCAAGGTGTGCTGAGGACCTGATCCAATGTCTGCTGAAGTCAATGGAAAGACTCTCATTGATGTCAGTGGGTACTGGATCAGACTATGTCTCCCTGTAGCCAATGCTATTAATACCCCATTTTCATGAGCATTAAACTCAGTCTAAAATGATGATCTAATCTAAGTAGTTTACCCTTGGGGAAAAAATGGATATTGTGCATCTATGAGAACTACTTTTTCAAGAACTAGCAAGGGATTTTAGTATACAGTCTTACTGCACATTCAGGGATCTTTAAGATGGAAGATTTCTAAATACTGAATGTATTAGTTGAAATAGTTCTTTGTAGCACTACAGTTCATCATGTCAACGATTAATGGCTGAAGACTCCTTTAAAAATAAATTGAAATGATAGGCATGTAATGGAGCTGCAGTTATCTAGCTAATTGGATAATCAGGGGATAGTGTAGAACTGTAATCAGAATGGCTCCAAAGGAGTTGCTTCTGTCTGAGAGAGAAATGTAACTTTCAGGTATAATTTTTAACCCATGCTTTTTTTATTTAAATTCCTCAAATTTATAGACTATAAAATTACAGGGAGGAAGTATACACTGATCAGCCAGAGGCTTAATCGTGCTCTCACAAATGTATAAAGTGGTGGTAACTCAACGGGCTTTAATGTAGTTACTCTGACACAACTGGTATAAATGAGAAGAAAATCAGGCCCTGAAATTCTGTAGACCTGGAATTTATTTCCAACTCTGCCACTAATTTATGCAATCTTGAGTAAGTCACTTAACCTCTCTGACCTGTTTTCCCCATTTGAAAAATGGAGGCGAAAGAACACCTCTCTCTGAGATTCTCAAACGAAAGACATTAGAACAGTTTTATGTTGTACAACCATAACATTGTTTATATTAACATTTTCTTATTAAGTATTTTGACAGGGTAGTATTGTAGTCATTTATTTTAATTTATGGTTTCTTTGGCTAATCATGAACACTTTTTTTGTTAGGTTGCTTTCAAAAAGTAAGTAACATCCAAATGTTTATCAATTCAGAAGGAAGGAAATTAAATAAATATTTTAAATTATAAAAACTGGGATTACACTGATCAGACAAAGCACAATTTAAATGAGATTTTTTTTGTTTGACTAATGTTAAAACATAAAGCAGTTAAGTGCACACACACATGCACAAAAGGTCTGTCCTATTAACATTAAGGATAAGACAAACTTAAAGCCAGAAACTCAGAGTAAGGCTTTACATATCCCATAGTGTCTAGCTATTGCAGGTACCTTGTGGCTTCTGCTTTGTGGAATATTACACAAGAGCAGATGCTGAGCATGCAATGAGGTTTATCAGTGGCACCCAACTGGACACTGGATCATCAGGACTGACTGGGATGCAGGGTTTAAGGAGGGATGACAATTTGGGAGAGGAAAGACTGGAGGACAGGTGCGAGACGAGTACCGGACAGACTATGATGTGGGAAGAGGTGGCTTTGGCAAGATCATTCAGATGCAGAAAACCAATCACCAGACTATAATCTACTAATTGCCTAATCTGTCCTAGCACACAGAGGGGCTGTGTCCCTCTGCAGTTAGTCCTGTCCTGGCCCTTTGGATGGGGATGTGGAGTGGAAGCCAAGTTTCAGCAAAAGGCAATCCCCCTGAGATCGGCTGTTTAACAATTGTTCATTCCTTATATCTTCTGGGCTGGAATGGCTATTCTGTCCTGATACAGGGCAGCAAGAAAATAGTGGCCAACTCTGCAGGATTTCTCACTAAGATTAAGTGCAGCATGTCAAGCTCAGACTTCTGCCTCCAGTTGTCATTACAGCTGAGGTTGCTCTAGAGCACAGACGTCTGAGAAATACAACAGCCATCAAAGGCCTCCTGGCTGCTTGTGCAGCTCTAGAGTAGGGACAGGAGTTTAAAATATGTAATTTACAATCTTGTCTGCTCCTCTAAAGCATTGTTGCTGGTATAACTTAGAGAAGCAAAGCAAGATCTTACTGGTCACTTGCAAGTGCTTGTCTGCACTCCTGGCCCTTAGCTCAGTCAGTCCTGCAGAGTCTTAGTCCTTGCTGTACCTGGGGTGTTGCCTGGCTGTTGAAGAGCCTCACTATTACACCATGGTTTTGTTTGTGACTTTGGGTTTTTTAAATAAACGTTGAGTCCTGTAAAAAATAATTTAAAAAAAAACTACGCATGAGCTTCCATACCACATCTGCACTGTGAGTGATAGACTGAGTGAGATTAACTCTGAACATTCTGCCTTTTATTCATGTAAATCACATCTTTGAGATAGCTTTCTTTTTCTTTTTAGGGAAAACTATTTATTTTGAGTCAGTGTTATATTAGTCTTTATAGAAAGTGGGGCTGACTTGTTGCCATGTTTCATCAGACACATTCTGAACACACTGCCTAGAATTTTTGGTATTTCTTTGAGAAGGCTTTAGACACTTGTCCTATTAGAATTAATGGGAGTTTGCTATTAATTTCAAAAGAATCAGAAAAGAGTTAGCTACTAACGAATAGCTATGTCTTCTATCTTGACTGGTACTAGACGTAAATTTCCTTTTTGTAAAGTGGTAGCTTAAATCAACAGAGAAGAAGCCAAGTTTAGACCAAATCTTGCAGTCCTTTTAAGAGCATTCTGCTGAAATAAAACTCCCATTGAATTTAAAGGGAGTTTTGCCATTGATCTAAATGGAAGCAGATTGGTTATTTTTGTAGAATCTGACACATTAAAAACTCCTGACTCTGTTGGTCTAAGATGCTCACAAAGACCATTGGGAACCAGACTGAAATATTGGGAAAAGAACTATTAAAATGAAAAAATAAATACAAAGGCCAACATGCAAACCCTTCATCAAAATTAGGACTGTATTATAAGGGGTGTAGTAGTTATTTATTCTCTCCCAACTCCCTTATGAGCTGCCTGGTACTCTCCCCAAGGAAACACCTGTAATACATAACCACTTTCTATCTTCTAGTAAGGGTACAGAAAACAGTGTTTGATTTTGAACATAAATTTCAAATAGGTGAATGAAGGGAGTCCATCACTTTTATTTATGTATAAACAAACAATGTAGCTGTTATTCTCCACATACATTTCACATTATGCATCATAGCAAAAGGTATAATTATCTCATAATTCACATCACCTTCTCTTTCTCATTCCCAACCTCTCACACACACTGCAATTATTGTTGAAAAAGAGAGAAAAGCACTCCCAACTACTATTGTTGTAGGATCTGAAAAGGAAATCAATCCTTAAAAAAGAAAGAAAAGTATACGAAAACCCAAGTAAACAAAATCAAATAAAAAAATATACTCCTGTACCTACACTATGATGTTACAAAAGACATGAAAGGGAACTTGTACAACAGGTCTCCTAACTTTTTTATTTTATTTCTTTACAAAAGTTTAAACTTATTTTTGGGGAAAATAGATGTAAACAGAAGGCAGACTTGCCTGATCTAGAAGGAAATGTTTACAGCTAGGGAAATAATTAAAGATCAGATTATCCATGTACAAATTTGACCCCCTGGAATGCTCCTAAGGGCGGTGACATTTATGGCTGATCTACTGCTGAAATCCCGCCTCAGTCCTCACTCAGGCAAAACTCCCATTAAAACCAATGGGAGTTTTGTGAGTAAATAAGTGCATGCAATATCTGGCCCTCTGGGCTGGTTACACACATACAAGTTGTCAAGCAGAAGCATTAACTTGTACACCCAACTTTCCCAAGACTTAAAAAACAAATTGAAAGAGAATAGCTGCAAGCTGCCTGATTAAAACAATCGCTTCCTATTTTGCTTAGCAAATTTCCAGAGAAGTGCACCAAAGTGCAAAAAGGAGATTATTGTAAATTGAATTAGTGGTATACTTGATACAACTTTTCAGTTCAAACAGTGTAAGAAATATATTACCAGAAAAGGGGACCCTTATGCTGCAAAACAAATGTACTATTACCTTAAAAGGTTAAAAACATGCTGTTGTTTTTTTTTTTAAGAGATATATGTTTTTCAATGTCCTGTTCCCTGAAAGGTCTGTTAGCAGGGAAATTGGTGTTAACCTCACCCACTTCTACAGTGAAGTGAAAATGAAGTTCAGCTCAGCTAAGACTCACCGAAGGAAAGTCATTATCTATCTGTACAAAATTCCCTGCTAGTGAAATATGGCTCTGCCAAAATCCCCTTTACAGAAATGATCACTTGCACACACTTAAGATGTGTACATTCTGTAACAGCACAGCCAGCTCGTTACAGCCTTCCCCTAGGGAAACGTGTTCAATACACCGGCACACCCCAGCGCGGGCACATGAACAGCTCAGCACACAACATACCCATATCAACCCCACACACCAACCCAGACAAAACACACAGCAGCCAACACACTCACGCATATCAACCAAAAGGGACACACACACAGGACACGGCGGAGCCAGCACACAAGCAGCCGCTACACGCACCCCCACCCCTCGGCGCGCAATCAACCCACGCGCACAGCCATCTCGACAGGCACGCAATACACCCAGCTGCAAGCAGCGCACACCCACCACCCACGCAATGGATGCAGCCGCCTCCACAGGTATCCGGCTGAGGACAGGCTGGAGCCCGCGTGCCCGCTGCTGCCCGTGCAGCGCTTCTCCCCCCCCCCCCCTCCCCTCACGCGCGCACGCTCACCTTGTTTGCAGTCACAGTAGCCCCAGTCCACCCTGCCCCGGCTGTTCCGGTAGAAGCACCAGGGTCTGCTCCTGCCGTCGGGGTTCCTGCAGAAGTTGTGCTGGCCCCGCAGCCCCTTCCCCTGCGGGGTCTTCTGCAGGAAAGCGGGCACCTCCGCCCAGGGCAGGCACTCGGCGCCGAACTCGGTCACGTTGACAAAGCGCCCCCCTGGCCCTTCGCCCCCCGGGCAGCCGGGCCGGTGCTGGGGGGCCGGCGCGGCGTGGCGCGAGCGGGGATGCTGCGGGCCGCGAGCAGGGGCAAGGGGAGGGTTAAGAGAGGCCGCGACAAAGCTGCCCGCTGCGGGGGTCGTCCCTAAAATCAGAGCCACCAGCAGGCTGGGTAATGTCATGGTGCCAATGCCGCCTCTCCCGGGCCATCTCCCCCTCGGCTCTATCCCAGTGTGAAGGGGGAGGGCGGGGCCGCCGCTTCCCTCTAATCCTGCCCCCACCTCCCCCGGCGCGCACACACCCTCCCCCCTGGCCGGCTCAAGCTCCGGAGCAGCGGTGCGGCGGTACTTGCCCCCGGAGCGGAGCCGCTCGGCTCCCCGGGGGGGGCGAGAATTGCTGCTACCTGCCTTGGCAGCGCCTCGCCAGCCCAGGGTGCGGGCCCTTAGCCCCCCCCACACACACACATGCACGCTCCCTTGCAGAACATGGGGTGGCCTCACTCCCCTGCCACCCCAGCAGCTGGGCAGCCCACACCAGGCACCCACGGAGGGCCAGTTCCGCTTCCTCCCGCCCGCTCCGCTGGGCGCCCCCCCTTTGGGGGCATAGACGACAATAAACAGCAGCCCGGAGAGTAGGTGTGAACATCCCAGGGAGCCTCTCCGGGGTCCCGACCCTGCACTGGTGCTGGGACACTCCTTGGATCGAAGTGGTTTCCATTAAATACAGGTTTTGCAGTTTGGTTAAATGGCTCTCAGTACCACACTATAAAAATTGTTCCATCATCCCTGACTCCTGCCTCCCCCACCACTCCCTCCTCAAGCCACTGATGCGGTCCTCATCCCCACCCCATCTCCCTCTCATCCCGTCTCTGCTGCGACCCCAAACCCTCCCTGCCTTGGCCCCCCCCCAACTCTCCCTCTTCCACACCCTCTCCTGCCTCTCTTCCTGGAGTCTCTGCTGCCCCCTTCCCCCGAAATCCCCCTTTGCTTTCTCCCCACTACCCTTCCTCCTTGGAGCCCCCTCTGCTCTTCCCCCACCTTGTCTGCACCCAGCAAATTCGCTCACTTTGGTCCTCCTCTCTCAACCTTTCTTTCTCTCCCTTCATCACATCTTCACTGTCACACGGGACCCCCTACCCCAACCTCCCCGGGGAATCTTACAGTCTCTTTGACACCTTCACAAAGAGATGCAGGAGGAGCCTGGACACCAATTCACAATGAAACTTCGGGGATGGGGAGTGTCTAGGTTGAAAGACAGAGAAATACACCCAGCACCAGGATCTGGGAGAGAGAGAGGCCAGAGATTCCCAAACAGGTCTGGAAAACACAAAGAGACTGAAAACAAATGCAGAAGGGGAAAATGTCTTCAAGTGCTTCCTGCCTCCCCCAGAACCATGTGTTTTGCATAATAGTAATCCTCCCATCCTCAGGCATTGGGGTTCCACATGATCTAGTAATCCTTGATTTGCTCCTTTTATCAGGTTGGCCATCAGTTTGCCTTTTTGTCACAGACTGTTCTTTTAAAACAGGCACACACAACCCATTGCCATTGTTTTTTTAAATCTATACTATTCATATTTTACAAAGTCTGAGGCTCTTTGGTTAAAGAAGTGTGCTTTACTTGGCAGCTCTGTCTGTAGTATGAATCTCTGGATTCTCCTCTCTGTAGTTTTCCTCCTCCCTCACTCCCCAATGTTTGTTGCTGGTAGGCAGTGTCATTCTGGGTTGAACCTGTCCACACTCAGGTTGCTCTTGTATTAGATGTCCACAGAGAGTGAGAGAGAGAGAATAGGTTTCAGAGGAACAGCCGTGTTAGTCTGTATTCGCAAAAAGAAAAGGAGTACTTGTGGCACCTTAGAGACTAACCAATTTATTTGAGCATGAGCTTTCGTGAGCCACAGCTCACTTTAGTTTTCTTCTTCAATTGCACTTTCCAGTTTTCCACAAAGTCCCCAACACATATCATCACATCCCACAGCAGTACGTCTGTGACAGTTGTCCCTGACTGAGTGAAAGGGGCAAAACAGTTATGGGTTTAAGCTTTTATTCATAAATAGAGAGGGGCTCAAGGCACAAAATTTCAGTCTGGATCAGGATCCTGGTGTCAGACATGAATGACAATGCTTGTGGTATCTGGATCCAGGGTTTTAGTTTTGCTCCTTTCTGATTAAATCATTTTTGCAGCTCTGTGTTTGGTATATTGAAGATCAAGAAATTCCGATTTAAGTTTTCCACAGCAACCTTATTTTTACCCCCTTGCACGTAATCATTGAACTATAATGTGAATTTGAATGCATATATTGTTCTCTCTTTTAGAGCATATATATTTGCATTGGTGTAGTTATGAGTCTATCAGAACTGAAAAGGGTTATAAGATGACTTTAAAAAATTCTATACTGAAATCTGACATACAAGACTTCAGCCTAGGAGCAAAATCACTATGATCACTTGTAAATTGTGTGTAAGTATACCACTTTCAAATGATGGCTAGTTAGCCTAGTGCATTAATATGCTTGATTTTACCCTATACTTCAAATCATACTCACCCAACTTGGGCAGTGTCATCCTATTTCCTAGAGAACATTTTTGGACATAATAATAAAACCAATGTACAGTTTTCCTAACCTGAAGGCTTTTTTTCTTTGCCCATGACCAGAAAGCAGGGGTTCTGCAGGTCAAGACTGAAGGGAATTGGTAGAATTGTGTGGTGAAGCTTGCCAGCAGGACCTATGCTGCCAGACTTGAGGCAATGCTTTTAGTCTCCTGGTTACTTTAGCATTGTAGTTCAGTTTGTCTCTCCAAGATGTGTGAGCCTGCAGGGTATCTTGCATTATATGATCTTCCTGTGTACAATAAAGAGTGTTCCATCTGAGGCATCCAAGCCCCCTCCCTGGTATTACCCTGTGGCTCCTAGTGGAAATATCTCCACAGGGGGTGGGTTTGGGATGTAATTGGGGCTTCAGCACTGGTGCATCCCACATAATACTCCCCTTCTCCCCAAAGAAACAAGAAGGCAAGCCTCAGAAAAGTAAATGCATCTCCTTTCCCTGCCTCCTCAATGATCCCCTCCTCAGAACACAAGGTGGCTCAGTTTGGGATTACTCACATGTGTAGGTTTGGTCCTAAACTATTTTTATTATGTTTACCATGGTTGGCTATAATCTTTGTAATCCTACTAGTAAAAAAGGCTTCAGTTTTAAAACAATGGTTATAAATTAGCTCGCAGTAAGATGAAAGATCTCTTGATGTTCCATATATTGAGATTTACCAACTAGGGGCCCAATCTTGCTCCCATTTAAGACAATTACATTGATTTCAGAATAAGTAGGAGAAGGCCCTATCTGTTGAATATTTTTGAATCTGAATCTGTGCTATCAAATGTCACTTGGGGCATGAAAAAGATTCTGCCATTCATGTCTACCATACTGTTTGTGGAATGGCTACCTTATTTCTAAAACTTGGCTCATTTACATAGGTTGTTGGCCTACTGCTCAACCCCCAACTTAAACTGCTTTTTCTCTAGCAGCTTGGATGGCCCTACCAGGAGCATTCTAAAAAATGAAAATGAAAAATAATTATGACAGTTATATTGTGTTTAAAATGAAATTATATTATATGCTTCAAGAACTCTAAAGGATTCTTTTTAAAAAAATCATAATTGTAAACAAGAAATCAACTATTCTTTCAGGCTTCCCATATTAGACTTGTTTGGCAAGGATTCCTGAATGAAGGTACCAAATATTAAAAGTTCTGAGTGAATCTGGTTTCCCCTAAAATGATTTTGCTGTTTTATGTGAAAATTGGTTCAATCTTGTACACAGATGAAAGAAAAAGTTTTGTTCAATAACATCACCAAATTATGAAAATAAGAAAAGCAAATCAGATAACTTCGTAAACTTCCATGGTATCATACATTTGTGTGTTAAAATACATTTCTAATCCCTGAATGATAACCCTTTCTGAAAAGGTGTGTGCTATCACAGAATGGTGAGAAAATAATAACCTTTTAAAATAAATAAATCTGTGTTTAACAAGGGCTGTAATTATGTACGTAGACAATGGACTTTCTTTGTCTTTTTAAATTGGGAGACAAAGCAATTTTAACTATCAAAAATTTCCGTTAAAGTGACATTGAAATAAATGATTCAGCTCCCACTGAAGTCAAAAGCCATTCTTTCTTCTGCAAAACATATATCACCAGATAAATTAACATAAACTTAAGGACCAAATCTTGCTCACTGTGAGCAAGTGGTCCTATTACAGGAGCAGTGCTATTACTAGCAGTCCCATTGAAGTCAGTGGAGCTACTTGCATGAGTAAGGCAGGTTTTGCTCTTAAGCCCTGATCCTGCAAATGATTGTAACGATAGATATAATTACCTGCATACAGCCCGTGGGGCTCTATGTGGGGCACAGGTCTACCTACATGGAGTCAGTTGCAGGACTAGGGCCTTAGTATGTATGAAATGCCAACAGGATTGGCTGGGCTTTGTCCATGCCTAAGCATTTCATGGTCCAAACATCAAATTATTTACAAGGCAAAAAACCAAGAGAATGATTAGCTTGTGTGATCTGACCAGCTCGAAAGAATCAGTTTGCCCACATTCATTTAAAGAGTGTTCAGTAGCAAGAATTTAAAATTTGACTGGGGAGTAAGGGCCCTGTGCTTCTCCCATTGAAATCAATAGCACAATTCCCAGGTCAAAATTTTCATAAGTAGTCACTAAATTTGACTGCCTCCATTACTGAGATATCTTGTGCATGACTGTCAAATGTGCTGAGCACCAGCAGCTCCCATTGATGTCAACATTCAAGAGTTAATGTTCAGAAGTAGGGACCGGATCCTGTTCTGATTTATTTGCCCTGACACAAAAGGGAGCAGGCTTGGGCCGTAGGTAAATAAAACATTTTGTAGCCCAATCCTGCTCTCACTGATGTTACTGGCAGTCAATAGAATCATGAATTGTGAATGTTAAAAAGCAGGAATCTTATTTATTGTCAAAATTAGAAAAATGGAAAACATCTACTGATTTATTCCTTGGATTCATTTGGCCTACTCCAAAGCAAAAAAAGTGTGAATTTTATTTAATAGATCCCTGAATGATGTCACAAGAAGTGATTATTTTGGTTTTGTTTAATGAGTCATACAGCGGAGCTTACTTAAAATAGCAGCTTTTATAGTTTTGATTTTTTTAAAATCGTTTATCAGACCAAATGTATGTTAATAAAATCATAACCTTTAAAATATATACATCTCAAATCT